TCCCTGGCACACGAGGGATGGGAGCCCCGGGCACCAGGATCCCTGTCACACGAGGGATGGGAGCCCCGGGCACCGGGATCCCTGGCACACGAGGGATGGGAGCCCCGGGCACCGGGATCCCTGGCACACGAGGGATGGGAGCCCCAGGCACTGGGATCCCTGGCACACGAGGGATGGGAGCCCCGGGCACCGGGATCCCTGTCACACGAGGGATGGGAACCACGGGCACCAGGATCCCTGTCACACGAGGGATGGGAGCCCTGGGCACCGGGATCCCTGTCACACAAGGGATGGGAGACCCAGCACCGGGATCCCTGGCACACAAGGGATGGGAGCCCCGGGCACCGGGATCCTGTCACACGAGGGATGGGAGCCCCGGGCACTGGGATCCCTGGCACACGAGGGATGGGAACCATGGGCACCGGGATCCCTGGCACACGAGGGATGGGAGCCACGGGCACCGGGATCCCTGGCACACGAGGGATGGGAGCCACGGGCACCGGGATCCCTGTCACAACGGGATGGGAGAGCCAGCACCGGGATCCCTGGCACACAAGGGATGGGAGCCCCGGGCACCGGGATCCCTGTCACACGAGGGATGGGAACCACGGGCACCAGGATCCCTGTCACACGAGGAATGGGAGCCCTGGGCACTGAGATCCCTGTCACACGAGGGATGGGAGCCCCGGGCACCAGGATCCCTGTCACACGAGGAATGGGAGCCCTGGGCACTGAGATCCCTGTCGCACGAGGGATGGGAGACCCAGCACCGGGATCCCTGTCACACAAGGGATGGGAGCCCCGGGCACAGGGATCCCTGTCACACGAGGAATGGGAGCCCCGGGCACTGGGGTCCCTGGCACACGAGGGATGGGAGCCCCGGGCACCGGGGTCCCTGGCACACGAGGGATGGGAGCCCCGGGCACCGGGATCCTGTCACACGAGGGATGGGAGCCCCGGGCACCGGGATCCCAGTCCTATGAGAGATGGGAACCCCAGGCACCAGGATCCTGGTCCTGCAAGGGATGGGAACCCCTGGCATTGGAATCCCAGCCCCACAGCCCTGGAACCCCTGGCACTGGGATCCCAGCCCCACAAGGTGCTGAGACCTGAGGACCCAGCCCCTCCCACGGCACTGGGGACCCCCGTCCCACGCCCCCCGAGCCCCCTGTCCTGCCGTGCCTTGTCCCCCGAGGCGCCGGTGAGGACGAAGGTGGAGAAGACGGGCAGGGGGTACTTGGTGCCCACGGGCCAGCTCTCGATGGTGGCCCCCATGGGCAGGCAGAACACGGGCACCGACTCGGGCAGCGGGAAGGACTCGCTGTCCTGCTCGGGGTAGCGGCTCAGCAGCCCTGCACGGACACATGGACACACGGACACACGGACACCGGACACCGGGATCAGCCCCCCAGGTCACCTCACCCACTCCAATGAGGAGGGGGCAGCCAGGTGAGTGCCCACAGCTCCACCAAACCAGCCCCCAAAATTTCCCATCAATAGGAAACCCAATTGCCCCCAACCCTCAGGAAGAGACCCCACTGTCACCCCAGTACGGGACCCCACTGTCACCCCAGTACAGGTCCCCACTGTCACCCCAGTACAGGTCCCCATTGTCACCCCAGTAAGGGACCCCACTGTCACCCCAGTACAGGACCCCATTGTCACCCCAGTAAGGGACCCCACTGTCCCACCTCCCCAGTAAGTGACTCCAGTCCCAAAAGCCTGGCAAGGCCCCCCGAATGTGTGCTGGGGCAGCTGAAGGGCCCCCCTTGGGCTCCCCAAACCCCCCTGAGGACACCCAAGGGCTCCTGCACCTCCCCCAAATCAGCCCCGCGCCAGCTGGAGGAGGTTAATCAACACAGAAAATATTTTTTAAAATAACAACGACAATAAACAACTCTGGCTCCCCCTGGGAGGACCCAGAGCCTCCATCCCGAGCTCCCCACCTGCCTCGTAGACCAGCGTGTTGTCCTTGGCCACGGCGATCTTGTAGCACAGGAACAACGCGGGGCCCCACTGCAAGGAGGGATGGGGGTTCTGGGGGTCAGCAGGGGCTGAGCACCACCGGGGGGACGAGAGGGACCTAACCCTGACCCAAACCCACCATGCTGGTGTTGAGGTTCTTGTCCACGCGGCAGAAGGTGTGGGGCGTGCTCTCGCCCTTGCTGGGCATCACCAGGCAGATGT